ATGTATGTATGTATGTGTGTGTGTGTGTATGTATGTATGTTTGTATGTGTAATCACATATGTTTCTATTTGAAAAACAAAGCTAAAATGTGAGAAATGATAAATTTGATGGGAAATATGAGGAAAATGAAATTGGTAGAAACTTTCTGTTTGCAAACAATTTTTGATGAATGAATTTCAATCAGTCATAAAGTAAAGCAAAGAAAAGTTAATATCATCTATTACACATATTGCTTAAGTAATATTAAGTAAAAATATAATTTCAAATAAAAAAAAAAAATAAACTTTAAAAAATTGGAATTTAAGAAATGGAAAAAAAAAAGGAAATCGATTAATCGATTAAATTAATGCATAAGTGAAAAGGATAAATGATAATATTTTGTTTCTTTTTTCTGTTTTTTGTTCCTTTTTTTTTTTTTAACAAATGCTGAAATTTTCAATTTTTTTTTCTTGTGGAAAACCATATTTTATTTTTTGTTTTCTTACTTAATTTATCATTGTGATAAAATTTGTTATCAAAAAATTTATCACTTCATTTTTAATTGTGCATAATTATTTAATCAATAATAAATTTAATTTTAATGATTGAAAATTTAATTTTAATTAATAAAGCTGAAATTTGTATCAAGTTTAGTCAGAAGTTTGAAACAAATAATAAGAGAGAGAGAAAAAAGAATAAAACTAAAGACTAACCATATCATTAATCATTAAAAAAATTAATATAATAATTATTCGTAATGTTATTCAAGTATTAATTAAATTTTTATCAAATATTGTCATTTTGTGAATTAAAATATAATAATTATTGAAATGATTGAAAATAAAATATATTCTATGTTAATTAATTTAGAATAATTATTTCATTTTGTATTAAATATGAAATTGTTTCATTGTGAAACAGAAAATGTTTAATAATAAAATGCAAAAAAACAGAAAAAAAAAAAAACGGAAAGAATTTCATTGTGAAAAAGAAAATAAAAAAAAATTCAACAATTGAAGTTTTTCATTAATCTTTTCAATAGATATTGTTGTAATATTTTTCGTTTTTCTCAGTTTACAATAAATCATTTAACATTGAAACAAAAAAAAAAAAAAAGAAAAAATTCGTGCAAAGTTGGAAAATTTTTAAAAAAGTTTTGTTTAATTTTTAAAATTTTTAAACAAAAATGCATCTTTCATTGAGACAAATTATTTTGATATTATTTAAACAATTTCAAATGTAATTTATCATTACTTTATCATATATTATTATATATTAATTTATCATATCTTACATATTTTGAACAAAAAAAATAAGTAAGTTTTGAGTTAATTTAATATTTAATTAACTGTTTAAGTCAATTTAATTTGTAATTTATATCATTTTTTTTCTAATAATATTTTTTATTTAATTTGATTTCTAATTTAATTTAAATTTATGAATATTACATACATACAAAAATTCAACATACTCACATACACGTGCATTACTTAATATAAATTTAATATATTACAAACAAAATAATATATTTTATATATACGTGTCATCACACGTACCCGTCAGCAAATATTTACCCATTATATCCACGCGGATACGTCGAATCACACGCATATATCCACGCACATACGCGTACGCACGGTTTTATCGTCCTCTCCCACACGTAGCATTCTATGCGTATGTCCATACCACTCTACATTCGTCCACGCACGCCTATCTTCTCGCCTCCACCTACACACGCACACACGTACCTACGTATGTGCACATTAAATAAGTTAGTAATAAGATACAGTCATTATTGTTTACAGTAATACAGAAACAATAAGCAAAATATGCTAATTGAGCTAAATGCATTGATTGCTAAACTTTTAAGTAAATAATTTTAAATTAAATTTATTTACAAGAATCACTGTAAAACGAAATAAAAAAATCTATTTGAAATTTTAAAATGAATGCAAGGAAAACGAATAAAATTGGCGCATTGCTTAGCTTAGCTTAGCTTAGCATTTAAACTGATGAAATCATTTTAAACATTTTTTTAAAAAACAATTGATCGTTGACCGAAACAAAGAAACTAAAAATTGAAAAAATTACAAAAAAAAAAAAAAAAAAAAAAATTTAAATTGTTTTCTCATATGCAACATAATAATTCTTTTCTTTTCTCTCTCTCTCTCTCACTTTCTTTCCCTTTTCATTTATTTAATTACTTCAAAATTCCAACAATGAATTAATAATTTATTAGAAATTAAACTTTTCCATTAAATATAAAAATTTTAAAATTTGCTATAAAAAATATGAAAATTAGGAAGGAAATTGTTAATATTATTAAGATTTATTTTTTTAAAAATTATATTTTTTTTTTGATATTTTATTATCAAAATAGAGAAATTAATATTTTTCATCATTTTTTTTTTTTAAAAAAAAATTAATTTATTAATTGATGATTAAAGTGAAACATATATATTTGATATTAATATTTATTGTAAATTTATAGTTTAAATGAAGTGTTAAATTTGGCTCAAGAAAAAAAAGATATGGAAAAAATTGTGATAAAAGATAAATGGAATAATTTACAATTTTTACGGTTCATTTATTTGTGGGTAAATTTATGGGAAAAAAAAAGAAAAATAAAAATGAAAGTGTTTTAAGGGAAAAGATTGAACGTAAATGGCCTTTTATAAAATTTATTTTCCTAAATGGTTTATTTATAAATTTACTTTTAAAAGCAAAAAAAAAAAAAAATTAATAAGTAAATATTAACTTATAAAATACATTTATTATATAAAAAAAAAACAAATAAATTTCTTTGTAAATTGAAAAAATTAATATGTTTACTAATAAATTTATTAAAAATTGTTATTATTGCAATATATTTTTATTTTATTTTTTCTAAGGAATTTATAATACGCAAATCTAATTGGCCAATTTCAACAAAAAAAAAAAAAATAATAATAATAATAATAATAAAATACATTTAATTGTTATTATAATATTATTTCAATCATAATTATTTCGCAAAATTTTCCTTTTTTTTGAAAAAAAATTGAAAAAAAAAATAAAAATTATATTAGAATATGTGTTCACTGTTTATTGTTATTTTTTTTTTAAATTGTGCAAACCAAAATTTTAAAAAAGACAAAATTAATTAATTATTTCATGATAATTTAAATAAAATTTGTGATGTTAATTTAGAAGCAAATTTGATATTTCCAAATGCAAATTTAAATATAAATTTAAATTTCATCCATTATTCGTATAATATTAGATTATAATATATTGTAATATAAATACAATAATAATAGAAAGAAGGACTGATGCGGCGAAATTTTTTTATGAAAAATAATTTTTTTCTCAAAAATCTGAAGCAAAATAACTATTATATTACTATTGCTTTATTATTATTATTACTATTATTATTATTATTATTATTATTATTATTATTATTATTACTACCATTATTATTGATATCATTATTATTATTATTATTATTATTATTATTATCATTATTATTATTATTATTATTGTGATTATTATTGTTACCATTATTATTATTGTTATTATTATTATTATTATTATTATTATTATTATTATTATTATTATTATTATTATTATTATTATTACTTTTTTTATTGTTATTATTATTATTATTATTAATATCATTGTTATTATTATTGTTATTATTATTATTATTGTAATGCATTATTGTTACCATTATTCCATTGCTATCATTTTATTACCGTTATTATTATTATTATTATTATTATTATTATTATTATTATTATCATTATTATATACCATTAATACTATTATCATCATTATTAGCAGTAATAATAGTAGCACTGGCAGTATTGCATTTATTGTTAAACGATTTTTGAAAAATGTTGGCTAATGGATGAAGGAAAAAGAAAAATTTTTTTTTTTAATTCTAATGTTAAATTTTAATTTAAAACTTAATTTCGTTTTTTTTTTAAATTTTTATCAATATTGCAATTTTTAAATTTCTTTCATATTATGTTATTCTTTTTTTAATTTTCTATTACATACATGCTGGAATGATAGATGAAAGTTTTCAAATTTGATTATAAATTTCCATTTAAAATTTATCACAAAAAAAAATCATAAATTTTATCACTTCTTTTCAAACGTAAATTTATATAATTAAAAATGAAATTAATAAGTATAAAATGCATTCTTGATAAATAATATATTTTTCAATATGCTTTTTAGTTGTCTTTTCTTTTCTTATTTTTTTTTTTTAAACTAACTTAAATAAATGCTAAAGTATGCATAAAAATTGAATGCAATATTACCGGAAATGTTCGTTGGCTAAAAAACGGAATAGAAAATTGTCGTTTTCCTTTCAATATTTTTGCTTATTATTATGGCATTTATATTAAAGTATGAATATATTTTCATAATATTTTATTATAAAATAAGCTCAACAATGTCAAAATATAATTTTAAATAATTTTTTAGGAAAAAAAAATTTCATACAACTTTTTTTTTCAATTTTTCATTTTTACTATCATTTTTAGTTGCCTTTTTTTTTAAACAATATTTTCATTTACATGACATATGATAGAAAGAATTTATTGCAAAAATCAACTGATATGATAAATATTTAGTTGAATTTATCATATTTAATTTATGATCGTTTATTATTTTATGATTGCCAAAGTTATCACTGTTATCACTAAATGTCAAATAAACTGTTAATTATCATTTTGTGGTTGTTATAGAAATGATAGTAATAATAGTTGTTATTATTGTTGTCTTATTATTTCATCGTTATCAAATTTATTATTATTTATACTTTGTTTTTTTATTTTTATCAACATGATTATAATCATTTAATATCATTATCACTATGCAATAATCATATTTAGATTGATTTTATCTTTTTAAGCAATATTTTATAATTTTTTTTCCTTTTTGCAATTTTAAAATTTATATTTTAGTCTGAATTATTCGCAATTCAATTTTTGTGAATTTTTGTTTAATCCAAATTTTTACGAATAAATGAAATGGGACGATTTGGTGTAAGTTTAATTTTAATTGTTAATGAAGTTTTTTTTTTCTTTTCTTTTCATTCCCACTTTACTTTTCGCTGTTTAATTAATTATATAAACATTTTCTAATTAATTAAGAAAAGATATTTTCTTGTCAGATATTTTCAAATTAAAAATTTCATTTATAATTATAATATTTTCAAATTTTTTAGTATTTCATGTTATATGAAAATAATACCTGAAATTAAATATCTAAAGAAAGAACAAATAGAAGAAAAGAGAAGCTAATTAATTGACTAATAAACTTAATATACTAATAAATTTCGTGACAATAAATTCCAATTAATGTTAATCATAATCAGAAATAAAAATAATAAATTAAAACAGTTTTATGTTTCAATAGAAATAATATTTTATTTTATATTAGATTAATTTTTTCTTAATATTACAAAAAAAAAAAAAAAAATTAGACACAAAATTAACGATTATTAGATAAAAATTTAAATATTAGATTAATTTTAATATTTGATATTATTAGATTAGTGAATTAATAAATTGGAAACTTGTTAAAATATAATACATTAATTTTTATTAGTTATATGTTATAATAAAAAAATTATTATTTTGTTATATGATTAATTTTTTTAATACTAGATAAATTTAAAATAAAATTTAGATCAAAATTTAGATATTAATTTTTCTATCAGATAATATTAGAATTTATAAAGCTGAAGAAAAAAATAACTTATCAAAATAATACATGTGATGATAAATTCGTTTTTTTTTTTTAAAAAAAAGTTTTATCTTATCTATAAATGATAATTTTGCTAATTGGTTAATTAATTATAATTAATTTTAGCGTGAAGTAATATCAGTACACGTTGGACAAGCAGGTGTACAAATTGGAAATGCTTGTTGGGAATTATATTGCTTAGAACATGGCATCCAACCAAATGGTATGATGACAGATGATCAAGCAATTGATCACGAGGATATTTCATATAATACTTTTTTTGCTGAAACTATTTATGGTACTAATTTTTTTTTTTTTGTGAGTAATAATTATTTAAGAAATATTTTTTTAATTATTGATTAATACAAATAAATATGGAATAAGAAGAAAAAATGAATTATTGAACTGATAAACAACAAAAAAAAATTATTAATTGATAATTTGATAAAGAAAAATTTAATATTATCAGCATTTTAAAGTTTAATTATTTAATATATGATAGTATTAAATTGACAATTTTTTATATTATCTATTAATTTATGATATGATAGTATTAGTTAAGAATTTTGTTTTATAAATTTAACCACAATATATGATTAATCATAATTTATTAAATAAATGTTTAATCAATTTAAATATTATTTAAAAATTCCTATTTTTTTTTTTGTAATTAATCATTTTTTAATATAAGAATTGCTAAAAAAAACAGAGAAAAAAGGATTCAAATTTTATAAGCAAAATTTTTTGAATAGCATTATTTTAAGTTAAATATGAAAAAAAAAAAGAAAAATTTAATTTTTTTTTTAGGTAAACATGTTCCACGAACAATTTTTATTGACTTAGAACCAACTGTTGTAGGTAAACTTTTTAATTTATAATTTAATACTTTTATTTGTTTTTTTTTTAAAAAAAAATTTTCGCTTTTAATAAAGACTTTTTCAATTTTTTTTTAAAATTGGAAATGATATATTTCATGAAATGGTAAAAAAACAAATTTCTTGTTGTTCAATAAAAATAAAAAAAAAAGGGATTTAATTATTAGATGAAATAAGAACCGGAACTTATCGATCGTTATTTCATCCGGAACAACTTATATCCGGAAAAGAAGATGCAGCAAATAATTACGCCCGCGGTCATTATACTATTGGAAAAGAAATTATTGATGTTTGCATTGATCGTATAAGACGTAAGTAAATATTTTAGTAAAAAATTATTCATTTAATTTCATTAATTAAAAAAACAAAAAATGAAAAAATGATTGAAATGTATAAATCATAGACTTATTGATTTTTTGCCTTCAAATTTTAAGTCTGATTTAAAAAAATTGTTAAAAGATTGAAATTAAAAAAGAAATGCTCATCGATTTTCTTTTTTTTAAAGTTTTTTTTATTAAATAAACACTGCCAAAGTTTTCATTTTTCATTTTTTTTTTTTTTTTTTTTGAAAAAAAGTAATGTAAATAAAAATATCAACCATAAAGTAAAATTTAAAATTATAATGCTATGAAGTTCTTTCTTTTTTTTTCAGTTTTTAAAAAAATGACAGAAAAAAAAAATTTATAAATTCATTTAGGTATGAGCGATATGTGCAATGGTTTACAAGGATTTTTAATTTTTCATTCATTTGGTGGTGGTACTGGAAGTGGTTTTACAGCATTACTTATGGAACGTTTATCAGTTGATTATGGCAAAAAATCAAAACTTGAATTTAGCATTTATCCTGGTTTATATTTCATTTAATTAATAAGAAAAATAAACAATAAAATGGAATGAAAAATAAAATTAAAATATTTCAATATATTTAATTAAGCAAAAAAATTTTTAATTTAATAACATTTAATATTTATTATTCTTATTATCATTATTATTATTGTTATTACCATTGTAATTATTATTATTTACTATTATTTGTTTATTATTTTTAATAACTTTATTAAAAACTGCTATTACTACTTTTATAAATAAAATTATTATTATTATTAAAGCTCCAAGGATTAGCACAGCAGTTGTTGAGCCATATAATTCCGTTTTAACAACTCACACAACCTTAGAACATTCCGATTGCTCATTTATGGTTGATAATGAAGCAATTTATGAAATTTGCCGAAAAAATCTTTCTATAACAAGGTAAAATGTAAAAATTTTATTAGAAATATAAAAATTATATAATTTAAATTAATAAATTATCAAAAGTTAAAAATGAGAATAAAAAATGAAAAGATGAAAAATTTTTCATTAACTTAATCACTTTTTCTTAGTAATTTAATTATATATATGTATTTGTTACTCATTACAATTAATTTTATTATTAGCATTTTTGAAATGGGAGCGAAAAAGAAATTAAATGAAAATAAATGTTTAATTATCTTTTATTTAATTTTATGCTTTTAAATTCCCTTTTTGTTTTGTTTCAAATTGTTTATTTTCAATTTCGACCAACGTATACAAATCTTAATCGTTTAATTGCGCAAATTGTCTCATCGATAACAGCATCATTGCGATTTGATGGAGCATTAAATGTTGATTTAACTGAATTTCAAACAAATTTAGTACCATATCCAAGGATTCATTTTCCGCTTGCAACATATGCTCCAATTATTTCCAGGTAATACTAAAATTCAATTCCTTTTTTTTTTTTAATTTTACTTATCAGAAACAGATAATTTTATCGATAAATAAATGTTATAAATTGAATAAACTGACACACACAAGGAAAAGAAAAGAAATTAGCTAAATAAAAAGAAATAAAATTTCAATAATATTTTATGATATAGCAAGAAAGATACAGCCAGGAAGTAAATTTTGTGAAATATATAATTGTGCTGAAATTGTAGATAATCTTAATTTTTTAAAATTATTATTATCACTATGAAAAAGTTATTTTTTCATATAATATTAGTAATTTTTACAACTGTAATCATTTATTGCTATTTTTTTTTACACCATTTGTAAAAGCAAATTTAGAATTTTTTTTCTTATTGTCCTGTTTCCTTGTGCAACAAATTGGATTTCCTTTCTTGATAGTTCAAATCGTTGACTCCTTTGTCTTCGACACTGGTAGAATCTCGAATCTGTACTGGTTTCGTTCTGTGTACGTGTACTGTTTCCGTGAAATACTTTATTATTCAAGCTTCAAACTTGGGTAATTAAACCACAGATTAACATTAAAAATTATACAACATTACAATAATGAATTGATGATACATAACACACAAATGTAATTTAATTATAAAACATTTAAAGATATAAGCAAGCTAGACACCTCGCAACCGAGCCATACCAAACAAAGAACTACAATGAATGGCTTTGTAAGGAAGAAAATTGGGAGGGACTTATGGGTGTTAAGGTTACGAAGTGGATTAAAATAGCTTTGTTCATGAGGTTATAGCTTCGCCATTGTGGCGACACCATTATTCATTATTAATATTATTATTACTATTATTATTAATTATTTAAAATTTATTTTTCATATAATAATATAAATGATTATTCATATTTTCGTTTTTATTGTTTTATTGTTACTGTTACTGTTATTATTACTACTATCATTATTATTGTTACCGTCATTATTACTGCTATTATTATTATTGTTATCATCATATTTTTATTATTATAACTATTACCATTATTACTAATATTTTATTTAAACTTTTATGCTAAATATACTTTAAGTCTTACTTTTTACTCAAAGTCTTACTTTTTACTCAAAATAATTTTTGTTTTATGATAATAATATTTCAAAATTGATATTGATATTATTTATGCATAATAATAATACAAGTAAATTTCAAATTTTTGCTAAATGAAACATTAAAATTTTAGTGAGCGTGCATTTCATGAGCAGTTAACAGTACCTGAAATAACACGGCAATGTTTTGAACCTGGTAATCAAATGGTTAAATGTGATCCAAGACAAGGAAAATTTATGGCATGCTGTTTACTTTTTAGAGGTGATGTGGTACCTAAAGTAAGATAATTATTATTTTCAGTTTAGATTTCATATATTTAAATACTATCTTTTCTTCATATATTAAAAAAATTTAAAAAGAACATCTGATAAGTAAATAAAAGATAAGAATTGATAATTTAAATATTTATCATTTTTACTCTCTTTTTTTTTTTTATTTTTATTTAAAGGATGTTAACGTGGCTATAGCAGCAATAAAAACAAAACGTTCAATTCAATTTGTTGATTGGTAATGTATTTTCTGCTTTTTTTTTAGTTCAAAACCTTTTTTTTAATTTAATCATCTTAATTTTTATTTCAATATAAGTGATTAATTAAAAATGAAATGTTAATTTTAACTTTTTTGTTTGATCAATTATAATTTATTATTAAAATGGAATTTTTTTTTTTGCATTCCTAAATTTTAGATAGTTTTAAGGTGTCCAACAGGTTTCAAAGTTGGTATTAACTATCAACCACCTACAGTTATACCTGGCGGTGATTTAGCAAAACTTCAACGAGCTGTTTGTATGTTAGCTAATACAACATCAATTGCTGAAGCCTGGGCTAGGCTTGATTATAAATTTGATTTGATGTATGCAAAACGAGCATTTGTTCATTGGTAATTTTAATTTTATTTTTTTCAAAGTTGTTATAATAAATTGTAAAAATAATTCAAATTTTAACATTTTTTAAATTGTTTTTCGATTTTAGTTTTTTAATTTTTTATAAATTAAAATTTTTTTTCATTTTGAGGCACGAAATGAATTTCTCAATTTTAGTGCAATAACGTAAAATTTTTTTAAATTAATTTTCTCTTTAAATTTTTTTCAAATATTGTTGAAATTATTAATTTCCTTTTTTTTTTACTACTTATTGGAATTTTTTTTTTTTCAAAAGAATTTACTGAAATTTTTTGTTCTGTTATTTTTATAATTTAACCTTTTTTTTGGAATTAAAATGTTATTTAAATTTAAATTTGATATGATTAAATTTAAACTGAAATTTTTTCATAAGGTATGTTGGCGAAGGAATGGAGGAAGGTGAATTTGCAGAAGCACGCGAGGATTTAGCAGCATTGGAAAAAGATTATGAAGAAGTAGCTCTGGATAGTTTTGATGATTACTAATTTAATTATTGAAAAATAATTATTAATTAAATTATGAAAAAAATTATTGATTGAATTAAAAAAGAGAAAAAAAATTTTTTTTTTATTCAAATATTATGATTTTAGGTGGTTTTTTTTTCTCATTTTTTTTCCTTAAGATGCATTAAATTTTTAAAACTTTAATTATCAAAAATTTTTTATTGTTTTCAAAATATATTTACATATTTTTTTTTGCAATTTTGTTTATAAAATATATTTATACTAAATATTTACACAAAATTATGAATGGAATATAGTATCTTTAAATTAAATTATAATTTGAATTTTGTTTTGTGATAATTAACACAAAGTATATTAACATTTTTTTAAATAATGAATAAATTTTTAAAATAAAGAATAAATTTTTTTTGTAACTGAAATAGTTTCTTATCATTTTTTAACTCTAAAGTTATCACTTCGCATTTCTTATTCAAAAATTACAAAATTTATTTCAAATTTTTTTCGAAATTTATAAGTGTTGCTTTATAATCTTTGTATTTTTCATTTTTTTTTTTACATTTGTAATTTACTATTTTAAAAGTTTTAAAAATATAAATTAACTTTTAATTTAAGTTAATTTTTACTCGAATAATTATGATACTTTAGCTATACATCTTTTTTTTTTGGATTTTTTAAACAATTTAAATCAGATTGCAAAGAAAAAAAAAGCATTAATATTATGAAAATTTAATTTTAAGTTTTTTTTTTTTTATTTAATTTAAATGTATCAAATTTAAGTTAAATATTTATAAAATGAAAAAGAGAAGGAAGAATGAAAGAAAACGGAGTGAATTTTGATTGAAAACGAGCAAAATATTTTTTTTTTTTTGTTTTTTGTTTCTATTTGATCTATCAATTCACTAATACTAAAATCAATATTGAAACAATCGATTAATTAATTTTAAATCAATGAAAAATATTAAATATACAAAGTTATAATTTTTTATTTTACATATGTTCTTTAATCCATATAATACTAAAGTGATGATACAAATAAATTTCTATTTTAATTGTTTACACACACATACATACACACACAAACATGCATACAAGTACGTACATACACAAGTATGCATACACATGCACACACACACACAAACATGCATACAAGTACGTACATGCACAAGTATGCATACACATGCACACACACAAACATGCATACAAGTACGTACATACACAAGTATGCATACACATACATACACACACAAACATGCATACAAGTACGTACATGCACAAGTATGCATACACATGCACACACACAAACATGCATACAAGTACGTACATACACAAGTATGCACACACACACACACACATATTTAGATTTAAATACTCACACACACACATACATACAAACAGATACACACAAACATGCATACACATACACACACACACACACATACATACATACACGTGCATAACTATACACACTCAACTTCAAAACACTAATTGAATTCATTTTATAAACAAACTTTTTTCTTCTTTCGTTTTTTTTTGGTCCTTTTCTGTCATGTTTGCAATTTTTGTCGGATGACAGAAGAAAATGTGACAGTATAGCGACAGCTTATCATGTCAACTTCGTCTTCCATCTATTCCTGTCCCGTTCCCACTCCTCTTCTTTCCTTCTCCTTTTCGTTGCATCACCGCCACTTTACTTCTTATTTTTTTTTTTTTTTTTTTTTTTTTTATGTATGATATTAATTTTGTAAATGTTATTATTTGTTTTTATTTTATTTGATTTATTTCAAACTTTTTTCCACTAAAAGAAATTGAAATTTTGTCAGAATATATGTGTGTTGGTTCTTCTTTGTTTTTTTTTTTTTTTTTTTATATTTTTGTTTGTTATCTTAGCATATATTTCAATTGAATTAGTTTAAAATTTAAATCTTAAATTTTATTAAAATTTTTGTTATTAAAACATAAACTTTGTACTTATATTATTATATATTATATATTATTATAATGTGTAAAATTTTTAAGAATATTAAAAAAAAAAAAAATACCTTATCAATTTATATGAGAATGATCTAATATTCAAAGCTAAAAGAACACTATCATATCATTACACGTCAATATCTTAAACTACTTTTTCATTACACGTCAATATCTTAAACTACTTTTTCATTACACGTCAATATCTTAAACTACTTTTTCATTACACGTCAATATCTTAAACTACTTTTTCATTACACGTCAATATCTTAAACTACTTTTTCATTACACGTCAATATCTTAAACTACTTTTTCATTACACGTCAATATCTTAAACTACTTTTTCATTACACGTCAATATCTTAAACTACTTTTTCATTACACGTCAATATCTTAAACTACTTTTTCATTACACGTCAATATCTTAAACTACTTTTTCATTACACGTCAATATCTTAAACTACTTTTTCATTACACGTCAATATCTTAAACTATTTTATCATTACACGCAAGAATAATGCAATACCTATGATTTTTTTATCATTACACGTGAAATATCATCATATTTAACACTGTTTTATCACAATAATTTTTTATCATAACAGAATGATATGATATTTAACAGCTTTATCATAACACGTGAGCACGTAAGAGTGAAAGGATGATATGATATCAAAAATTGTTTTATCATAACACGTAAGAATGACTTAATATTTAAGATCAGAAAAAAAAGAAAAAAAAAACACGTTTTCATTATTTACACGTGAATATCATTTTGTTTGTATTAAAATTAATTTGTTTTAAAAAAAAGTACGAAATGACTAATACAAATCATACCAGTATTTTATATTTCGTCATAATAATAATAAAAAAATAAAAAAATTTCAAAACAGGAATTTGCATTATTATTTCATTTCTTAATTTTACTTATCGCTCTCAAATAAATTTTTATATTTAGCTTATCAAATTTTAAACCTTCTCAATTTGGTTAATTTAATTCATTAATTTAAAATTAATATTCAATTAATATAATTTATTCCTATTTAATGTCATGTTCTCGCTTTTTTTTTTTAAAGTTATTATCAAAATATTTTGCAAATTTTACCAATTTAACATTTTTTGGATTATTTATTTATTTTTTAATTCAAATTAAAAAATATTTATTAAAATTATCTAAGAAAAATATTCATTAAAAGTTGGAGAAAAATATTTATTGAAATTAAAAAAATATATATATATATTACAGCAAATCTGATGCAAAACCAATATGATTAATATTACTTTGACTTTTAATGTTCATTTATTAATAATATGCTTTCCTTATCATTTTCTTCTCTTATCATCTTATCAATTTTTTTTTTCGGCATTGCTTTTTTAGTTACTTTGTTGTTCGATTAAAAAATATTCAACAAGAGAGTGCATTCTTCTTTTTCCTTTTTTCTTGGATGGAAAAAAAATTTTTATGATTATTACTTGAGCTTATCAGTTTCAAAAGTTTCCAATGATAATAATAATAAAAAGATTTTGAAATGACTGTAATAAAAGTAATTTTTTTTTAGTTGCAAAAAAGGAAAAAAATTAAAAAAGTAATGTTCGAAACGAATAATATACAAAAACAATTTAAATTACTAATTAGAATTTTAAGAAAATAAAATAAAATAAAAAATTTGGTAAGAATAAAAATATTAATTAATTAATAATAACGACAATTTATAGTATGTGACAATGATATAAGCAATGTGTCAACTCTAACTGTTTTTTTAAATAAATTTTTTCTAAAATTTTTTTCAAAAGATTTTATATATGTAAAAATTTTTACAACTAATAATTTTACTAAATAAAAATTTACCAATAATTTTGAAAAAACAATCCAATTAATTAAAAAAAAAAAAAAGAGAGAAATTATTTAAAAAAAAACTTTTTCTCTCTTTTGTTCTTTCTTTTAAAAATGCAACAATTAAATGTTTTATTTTACAATTAATGCTAAAATAACTTTTTTTTTCAAACAAGAAAAATTAAAAAAAATTCATTTCCCAATTTTCTGTTTTTGAAAAAAGAAAAATTTGCTTGAATTTAATAAAATGTAATTGTGTTTTTATTCTCACAATTCAAACATTTCTATAATTTGTTAGCTAAAATTTGCTAAGCCTTTTTGATTTCTTTTATAATTTAAAAACGAAATTTTGAATTAGAAGAAAATTTTTTTTAACAAATCAAGAAATGCTTTAATAATATGCTTAATATTTCCTTTTTTCATCGTCTTTTATTTTTGTTTTTAAATTTGATACTAAAAAAAAAAAAACTTTTCTTATTTATCTTTTTTTTTTAAGATATATTAAATATATTTTGTATATTTTGTTAATTTACTTTTTTTAGTTATTTAAACCTTTTTTTTTTTTTTTAAACTTTTGAATGAGATTTTTTTTTCTCTCTGAGCTGAATAACATATTTGTCAAAGAAACTTATTCACAGTGTATTCATCGTATTTGTTTGATTTATTATAAGTAACGTTGATGTAAGTTTACTTAGCATTTAAATCATATTATAATCTTTGGCCAAACGATTTTTTAATTTTTAAAATTTAAAAACAAAAATAAATTATTTTTTTAAGATTTGATAGAGTTTTCTAATAACAAATAGTTATTGGTATAATTTTAATAAATTGATGAAACAAATTTAGCATTTAAATAAATGTTGCAAAATTAAATTGTTTGATAGCATTAAAAATAATTTGGCACAAATTTTACTTCTAATTAAAAGTTGCTGAATTTTTTTTATTAAAGAAAAAAAAAGAACTCACAAAATCTATGAAATTTATAAATTTGATTTAAAATTTTAAAGATAAATTAATAATTTATCATAAAAATAAATAATTTATCTATCAAATTTATAAATTTGATTTAAAATTTTAAAGATAAATTATTTATTTTTATCATCTTTTATAATAGATAATACTTATGGAACGATTTTTTTCTTTTTTAATCTAACAAATTTTTTTAACAAACCAAGAAAAAAAAATTGGCAAAATATTTTTCGGTTTATAAAATTTTCAA